CATCAGCAGCGGGGTGGGGGGGGCATACGTGCTGTGACGAACGCTCTCTCTGGTTTAAGTGCAGCGTCGAGGTCTGACAGTCTGCTGATCTGGTAGGGTCCAACATATAATATAATATAAATATATCAGGAGAATAGATTTGATAAGCAGCTGCACAAAAGACTAATTCTTACCCTGGAACTATAAACATGTTCAAGGTTTGCTACTGCGGCCAAGTGCTTGTTCATGCTGGGAACTGATGCGTCTCTTTAAATAAACGCTGTACCTGATTTATTCCTGCCATTATTTGTTAGTTGTTTGGTCCATAAAGTAAAATGTTGAATTGAATAAAATGCAATATGTCAGTTTCCCAGAGTCCAAGGTGACGTTTATAAAGTAGGGCTGGGCAGTAAAACTATAATGATAATTATCGCAATATAATTTTCCTCAATAACGATATAATAAATGTTCAATAGATCGTCAATAAATATTTGCTTTAATTCATTTGAATCAGGAACAAATTAGAACCCAATTTTTCTATTAAAATATTATTTGGTTGAAAAAGCTAATAGTTTTAAATGTTCTGACTCAGATCTGTGAAGCGATCCTCTGTTTGGCATCAAGTGTTTGTCCCGTTCTGACCATAAAGAAAAGTTTAACCATCTGGTTTCTTTAATTTTCACTCAGGAGCACAAATCAGCCTTTAAACTAGAAAGAAATAACGATGTGACATTTATCGTGATAATTATCGATACCGACTGATGAAATGTTTTTATCGTGATAACATGTTTGGCCAAATCGCCCAAGCATACTTTAAAGGTCTTTAAAAGATCTAGCTGAAGCTGCAGAAGAAGCTGCTGCTGAAGCTGCAGAAGAAGCTGCTGAAGAAGCTGCAGAAGAAGCTGCTGAAGAAGCTGCTGAAGAAGCTGCAGAAGAAGCTGCTGAAGCTGCAGAAGAAGCTGCTGAAGCTGCAGAAGAAGCTGCTGAAGCTGCAGAAGAAGCTGCTGAAGAAGCTGCTGAAGAAGCTGCAGAAGAAGCTGCTGAAGCTACTGAAGCTGCTGCTGAAGCTGCAGAAGAAGCTGCTGAATCTACTGAAGCTGCTGCTGAAGCTGCTGCTGAAGCTGCTGCTGAAGCTACTGAAGCTGCTGCTGAAGCTGCTGCTGAAGCTACTGAAGCTGCTGCTGAAGCTACTGAAGCTGCTGCTGAATCTACTGAAGCTGCTGCTGAAGCTACTGAAGCTGCTGCTGAAGCTGCTGCTGAAGCTACTGAAGCTGCTGCTGAAGCTGCTGCTGAAGCTACTGAAGCTGCTGCTGAAGTTACTGAAGCTGCTGCTGAAGCTACTGAAGCTGCTGCTGAAGCTGCAGAAGAAGCTGCTGAATCTACTGAAGCTGCTGCTGAAGCTGCTGCTGAAGCTACTGAAGCTGCTGCTGAATCTACTGAAGCTGCTGCTGAAGCTGCTGCTGAATCTACTGAAGCTGCTGCTGAAGCTGCTGCTGAAGCTGCTGCTGAAGCTGCTGCTGAATCTACTGAAGCTGCTGCTGAAGCTGCTGTTGAAGCTACTGAAGCTGCTGCTGAAGCTGCTGTTGAAGCTACTGAAGCTGCTGCTGAATCTACTGAAGCTGCTGCTGAAGCTGCTGCTGAAGCTGCTGTTGAAGCTGCTGCTGAAGCTGCTACTGAATCTACTGAAGCTGCTGCTGAAGCTGCTGCTGAATCTACTGCTGAAGCTGCTGCTGAAGCTGCTGCTGAATCTACTGCTGAAGCTGCTGCTGAAGCTATTGAAGCTGCTGCTGAAGCTGCTGCTGAAGCTACTGAAGCTGCTGCTGAAGCTGCTGAAGCTGCTGCTGAAGCTGCTGCTGAAGCTACTGAAGCTGCTGCTGAAGCTACCGAAGCTGCTGCTGAAGCTGCTGCTGAAGCTACTGAAGCTGCTGCTGAAGCTGCTGCTGAAGCTGCTGCTGAAGCTACTGAAGCTGCTGCTGAAGCTGCTACTGAAGCTGCTGCTGAAGCTGCTGCTGAAGCTGCTGCTGAAGCTGCTGCTGAATCTACTGAAGCTGCTACTGAATCTACTGAAGCTGCTGCTGAAGCTGCTGCTGAAGCTACTGAAGCTGCTGCTGAAGCTGCTGCTGAATCTACTGCTGAAGCTGCTGCTGAAGCTACTGAAGCTGCTGCTGAAGCTGCTGCTGAAGCTACTGAAGCTGCTGCTGAAGCTGCTGCTGAAGCTACTGAAGCTGCTGCTGAAGCTGCTGCTGAATCTACTGCTGAAGCTGCTGCTGAAGCTGCTGCTGAAGCTGCTGCTGAAGCTGCTGAAGCTGCTGCTGAAGCTGCTGCTGAAGCTGCTGCTGAAGCTGCTGCTGAAGCTACTGAAGCTGCTGCTGAAGCTACTGAAGCTGCTGCTGAAGCTGCTACTGAATCTACTGCTGAAGCTGCTGCTGAAGCTGCTGCTGAAGCTACTGAAGCTGCTGCTGAAGCTGCTGCTGAAGCTACTGAAGCTGCTGCTGAATCTACTGCTGAAGCTGCTGCTGAAGCTGCTGCTGAATCTACTGAAGCTGCTGCTGAAGCTGCTGAAGCTGCTGCTGAAGCTGCTGAATCTACTGAAGCTGCTGCTGAAGCTGCTGCTGAAGCTACTGCTGAAGCTACTGCTGAAGCTGCTGCTGAAGCTACTGAAGCTGCTGCTGAAGCTGCTGCTGAAGCTACTGAAGCTGCTGCTGAAGCTGCTGCTGAAGCTACTGCTGAAGCTGCTGCTGAAGCTACTGAAGCTGCTGCTGAAGCTGCTGCTGAAGCTACTGAAGCTGCTGCTGAAGCTGCTGAAGCTGCTGGTTTAACGTCTCCTGACGGTCTGCAGTCTCGTACGGAAACATTTTATAACCAGCATCACGTGTTTCAGACGTCTGTTCATCACATTTAACTCTTTATTACGTTCCGGGGGGTGATGGGTGTGTTCACATGCAGCGCGAAGTGAGCGGTTCGCCCGGCGAGATTGCATAAAAAAGTCAACGCAAAGACGAGAATAGAAGCACATTCATGGCGTGATGTGAATAATGTAAAAAGTGGAGGAGAGAGCCGCGGGCAGCGCCGCAGCTTCTGGACATATAAAGACCCGGAGTCACATTTATTTAGTGAATTAAATCATCTGAGCCGGATCACAGGCTGAAGTCTTTGCTGTAGTTCATTTTATTTCTCGCAGGAGGACGAGTCAGCAGCTCAGCGTGAGCGATCGCTGCTCTGCAGTCAAACTCTCCTTCACTCGTCACGCACACGAAGACAGAGCCGACACAAAAGATCCGTCCAGCTCAGGAGCAAACACCAGCACAGTTCAGGGGGAAATTTCTCCTCCAGCTGAAGCATTTAGGGAATTTAGATGAGATGAAACGGGTTCTGTAACTGCATGGAAAAACTATAAAACTCTCACTAAAGTGAACACCTGACTACAACAAGCTGACTTTCTGTCCTCGTGATGTTTCTGTTGTTTTGGTTTTTTGCTTTATGAGTGAAATAATGCGGGTTAAGACGAGCAGCTCGTGTTTCAGACGTCTCTTCAAAGTGAGTCTGTTGTCCGGCTGCGTTTCATCTGCACTTTGCTGCAGCAGATCAAAGTCTGCTGTCTGACCCTTCCTCCGGGTTTCTCTGCTTCCTGCTGTTTCTCCTCAAAACTACAATCAGACGGGTTTCACCGTCTCTTCGGACAAAAGAGCGGCGCTCCGATCAGGCGCAGTTAAAGCTTTCTGAACTGTTAAAGCTTCTGGCTGAGGAGGAGTAAAAGGACGGAGGCGTGTCGACCCACCGCACATACGAGTGCTTCTGTAATAAAGTTTAATGATGGAGGCATCAGACAGATTACTGTCCATAATCAAGACATCAGATAAAGACTTCTGTTGATCTCCAGCAGCGATTAACAGATGAAGAGGAGCCTCGAGCAGCAGAGAGAAAATAACCCAGCTCGTGGTTTTATAATAAAGCTTCCTTTTCAAACAGGAATGTTTTCTGTCCACACGAGAGAATAAAACCTTCCTGGTTAGCTGAACATTCATCCACCCACTCACTCAGGATCCACCTTAAAGCCACCGACAGCAGGTGCGACGCCTGTTTGGAGGTTTTACTTTCCAGACATTTAAACAGCAAAAACAAACAACTCTGGATCAAAAAAACGCAGATCAGCAGAAATCAACAGGAAGTTTTACAGCTAGCTGAACGTGTTGTACAGAAACCAGAGTTTCAGGCAGGGCAGATACGGAAAACTAATTTGACACGACCATTTATTTCACTGCTATATGAGCTGATATCTTAAACTTCCCCGGCAGCAGAGTGTGAGAGGGAGGCTCAGCTCTGTGCTTCTCTGCAGTCGGACCGACGTTCCACAGTTTAAACCTGCTTCATGGTCCTAAACAAGAAGAAGCTGCAGCAACGACCCAAAAACCTTCACTCAGGAACAACAGAGTGAAACAGCAGCAGCTGTTCGGTTGCTGCTTTGCTCTGATTTCTGTTTTGAAGAGGTTTCAGTGATGCTGCTGCTCTTTATCTTCGATGAGGATAAATTTTAACTTTATCACGATGGACATTTTTTTAAATTTACATTTTATTGACCAAATAATTATCCTCAGTCTGACATTAACACAAGCTATTAAACACAAACAGGAAAATACAAAAACTAAGATTAAAAGTAAACAGAATCTGATGAATTACTAATGAAAAAGACTGCTGGCAGCAGCTAAGGAGCAGTGAGGCAGAAATATGAAGGTGATTTCAGGTAAAACTGCTCATTTGAATGAATCAGTCTTTAAACTGAACACAGTTCACTTATTTATAAAGTATAAATCTGAAATATTTCCTGTTTCATTTCAATTATTTTTTTCTTCATGAATTTGAAAACGTGCATTAATCTGAGGCAGGGCGGCGCGTGCACGAACCTGAACCGTGTTTCACATAAACGCTGATTCTGATCCTCCACGGGATCAGTTCAGGTCCTGTTCCCGCATGAACGCTGTGGCGGTCTAACACGTCGCAGCTGCGAACAGGTAAACGCTCACCTGGACCTGGTACATGGCTCTGAGTCAGTCCCTCGGCTCCGGCAGGGCTCAGATCAGCGGGACGCAGCCTGGAGCTGCAGCCGCCAGCGGTGCACCGCAGCCCGCCTCCTCTGCTCCGGCCGCTCGGTCTCTCTCCGGGCCTCTCAGCTCTGAACCCGCTGCAGAATAAGACCCGGTCCCGGTGCGCTCTGCCTCCCGGTCCGCTCAGTCCTCCCGGTCCGCTCTGCACAGCCTGTCCGACGCCAAAGCACCCAAACGCCGCGGTGTCCGGGTCTCATCTCGCTCTGCTCCGGTGGAGGGCGGGATGACAACAAACCGAGCGGAGCCGAGCCGCCCCGAGCCGCCCCGAGCCACACACGGTGACTTCCTGTGGGGGATTTCACAATAAAGGCGCTGTTGCAAATAAGGCGTGTGAGGAAGTGTCATCCTCTCCTAAATGTCCTGTGTTCACGACAAAGATGAAATATGTCTTTAGCACAACAATGCGGAGATATTAAAGACATTAACATTTTCAAGCCTTAGATATAAACTAAATTTACCTGCCAAGCTCTCTCTAGTTTTACACATACTGTTACCTGGACTTCTGCATAAATTGGTCATAAAATGTGATCAGATCTTCATTGAAGTAACAACAACAGACAAACACAGTCTGCTTAAACTAATAGCACATAAATAATTGTAGGTTTTCATGTTTTTATTGGCCACACTGAGTAAACAGTCACAGTGCAGGCTGGAAACAGTCTGTGAACCCTTAGATTTAATAACTGCTGGACCCTCATTTGGCAGCAACAAATTTCTTCTCCATTACCCGTCCAACAGGAAGAAAGCCAACTCTGTGTCAGTTTTGTCTGCTCCAAAATAAATCAGAGAAGTGTTTCTGATGTTGACTGTGTTTTTACCAGAAGTTGATCTTATTCTTTGTCCTGAAAGGCTCCAGCACATAAAACTTTGTTGCTGGTTTTTATCCTTTCGTGGAGTTTGATGGAGTCTGTGTTGCAGTTTTTTTATGGTGTGCGGTGTTGTTGTTGCTGTGTTTACGTTTCAAATTGAGCAGGAAAGAGGTTCGGGAGCGCACAAAATCCAACCCGGAGTCTTCACAGAGGAATAAGCATACTGGCCGTCAGAATTAACAGAAAAACCCGACAACGCTTCACACTCAGGCAGTAAAAAAGGGATTCATTTCATTAAAAAACTACACATGGCTCCTTTAACAGGGTGTACTGGGTTACAAACATGTAGTTTAAGCAGGGTTAAAGAACCGTCGGTGTAAAAGAGAGAACTACCACATCGTTTTCACATTGTTGTAGAAAACAGGTTTGTTTTGATTCATCAACTTTTTCCTTTTGTCAAATCTGACATCTCGTGTGATCATGAAAGGTCGAATCAAAGGATAGTAATCCAAAAGTCAGCTGACTGTTGATGAGCCCAATTTGCCCTTCCTGGGGACCCTGGATGTAGTCCAGGATGTAGTCCTGGATGTAGCCCTGGATGTAGCCCTGGATGTAGTCCTGGATGTAGCCCTGGATGTAGTCCTGGATGTAGCCCTGGATGTAGTCCTGGATGTAGCCCTGGATGTAGCCCTGGATGTAGTCCTGGATGTAGCCCTGGATGTAGCCCTGGATGTAGCCCTGGATGTAGTCCAGGATGTAGTCCAGGATGTAGCCCTGGATGTAGTCCAGGATGTAGCCCTGGATGTAGTCCAGGATGTAGTCCAGGATGTAGCCCTGGATGTAGTCCAGGATGTAGTCCAGGATGTAGCCCTGGATGTAGTCCAGGATGTAGCCCTGGATGTAGCCCTGGATGTAGTCCAGGATGTAGTCCTGGATGTAGCCCTGGATGTAGCCCTGGATGTAGTCCAGGATGTAGCCCTGGATGTAGCCCTGGATGTAGCCCTGGATGTAGTCCAGGATGTAGCCCTGGATGTAGCCCTGGATGTAGCCCTGGATGTAGTCCTGGATGTAGTCCTGGATGTAGCCCTGGATGTAGTCCAGGATGTAGCCCCAGTAGGTGACTCCATAGTTCTGCTGGGAGTCTTTAACGCACTTGTGGGCAATGATGAGACACCTGGCGCGGCCTGATAGGGAGGCCTCCCTGTTGTCTTCTGTGCTTTGGTGTGATTTTGTGATCGAGGCCCCTCATACCTCCGGCAGACTTTGGGGGCATTGAACCCGAGTGGGCAAAGTTCAAAAGCTTCCATGCTGTGGCAGAGAGCTGTGGTCCCAAGACACCGTGCATTACAAACATATAGACAGGTACAGGAGGGATACTGGAAATACTGGGAATACTGGGAATACTGGGAATACGACCACTTCAACCTGCTGCTGAATCCACAAACTGAACAAGAGTTTGACGAGAACAAAGACTCACAGTGAAGGTAACTTTCAGGGCCGTTACTGAAGGAGGGAGTGGCTGACTGTTTCCTGTCTGAGCGTCTGCTGCTGTGACTTCAGCTTCACTCAGAGGCTAAATGGCTTCCAGATTAGAGGAAGATCTCTGCTGTCCTGTCTGCCAGGACATCTTTAAAGATCCTGTCATCCTGTCATGTTGCCACAGCTTCTGTAAAGGCTGTCTGCAGAGCTGGTGGACAGAGAGAGGAAGTCGGGAGTGTCCAGTTTGTAAGAGGAGACATTCAAAGGACGGACTGCCTCCTAACTTTGCTTTAAAGAGCCTGTGTGAGAGTTTCCTGCAGGAGAGAGATCAGAGAGCTTCAGAGGCTCTCTGCAGTCTGCACTCTGAGAAACTCAAACTCTTCTGTCTGGACCATCAGCAGCCAGTGTGTGACACCTGCAGAGACTCAGAAAAACACAGCAACCACAGATTCAGACCCATCGATGAAGCTGCACGACAACACAAGAAGGAACTTCAGGAAACTCTGAAATCCTTAAAGGAGAAGTTAAAGGTTTGTGAACGAGTTAAAGTGAAGTTTGATCAAACAGCAGAACACATGAAGGTCCAGGCCCGACACACAGAGAGGCAGATTAAGGAGCAGTTTAAGAAGCTTCAGCAGTTTCTAGAGGAGGAAGAGGAGGCCAGGATGGCTGCACTGAGGGAGGAAGAGGAGCAGAAGAGTCAGATGATGAAGGAGAAGATGGAGGCTCTGAGCAGAGAGATAGCAGCTCTTTCAGACACAGTCAGAGCCACAGAGGAGGAGCTGAGAGCTGAAGACGTCTCATTCCTGCTCAACTACAAGGCTGCAGTGGAAAGAGTCCAGCAGCGCCCCCTGCTGGATGATCCACAGCTGCCCTCAGGAGCTCTGATAGACCAGGCCAAACACCTGGGCAACCTGACCTTCAACATCTGGAACAAGATGAAGGACACGGTCTCCTACACTCCTCTCATTCTGGACCCAAACACTACTGATCCAGAACTCATCCTGTCTGAAGATCTGACCAGTGTGAGACGAGGAGAGAGACAGCAGCTTCCTGACAATCCAGAGAGGTTTGATTACTGCTGTGTCCTGGGCTCTGAGGGCTTTAACTCAGGGACTCACAGCTGGGATGTCGAGGTTGGAGACAGTACAGGCTGGAGACTGGGAGTGTTATCAGAGTCTGTCCAGAGGAAGGGAGACATACGGTCTGGATTATGGAGAATATGGTTGTATAACAGTGAATACTCAGCAGTATCCTTTCCAGCTCCATCCACTGATCTCAGTGTGCAGAAGAAGCTCCAGAGGATCAGAGTGAAGCTGGACTGGAACAGAGGAAAGCTGTCGTTCTCTGATCCTGATACTAACACACACATACACACCTTCACACACACTTTCACTGACAGGATGTTTCCATATATTTACACTGGGGATGAACTCCCACTGAAGGTTTTACCAGCGAAGGTCTGTGTGACTGTAGAACAATAATAATATGATGATGGACTCTGAGGATCATGTGACTGTGTTGTCCTGGTGAACAAATCAGCAGAAAACATCTGGGCCAAAAATAGATTCCTGTAATTTTTCAGGAGTGTATGGAAGATTTTATTGTACTTTAATATTTGTAACCCACAGAAAACAATCCACAAATATTTCTATCTACAAATATGTATTTTTACAATTGTGAAAAATACAGAGTGACTTCTACACACAAAACAGTTGTTACACATTTGCGGATTACTTCCTGTCAATTTGTGGGTCACGTTCCATTTGTAACTTCCTTTTTACGCATTTGTGGAATTTCCAATGTCCAATGTTTACTGCAGAGATCTGTAAAAAAATATATAGACAAATATCTCACTACCCAAAACATGTATTTTTACATTTGTGTAAAATCATATCCACAAAAATACAGAGCAATTTGCAAATATGTACAATTTACTCTGTACACACATTTTAATTTCACATACAAAGTGTTATTTATGCATTTGTGGATCTATTTCTACACACAAAACCATTTTGCACATTTGCAGATCATTTCCTGTCAATTTGCAGGAAATGATCTGCAAATGATTTACATTTGTGACTTCCTTTTTCTACATTTGTGGAATTTCGTCCACTCTGTAAATGTGAGAGCAGTTTCTTAGCTACACCAGCACTGCAGTACCCAGGGTCATCTGTAGGAGACAACAACTTCTGCAGGACCACTGGACTCTACTCCGTCTAACCTTTTCTGTACAAGTGCACATAGTTTGCTATTGAATACGTTATCCCTGCATTTGTTTTACATTTATATTTAAATAAATACATTTGAAAGCACTGTTGTGCCTACTGTTTGTAGGAGCTATTGTAAACCCTATGTAGAAGGTTAGTAGGGTTTACAAGACACATCAACAGCTCCATAAGATAAGTAGCTACTCAGAATATTGTCCTAGATTTAAGACTGAAACATGGAGTCGTTCAGGACATGTGGATGTCTAGGGCAGTACTGGACATCTTGGGGTGCCGTTCCCAACCAACCCATTACCGGGGACCTCTTAGACAACATGAGGGGCGACGTTCACTTTATCAGACTAACCCTATGGCAGCTAATAAATGAATAGCCATTTGCTGGACCACCAGGGGTCCTTAAGGGTAAATAGTTTCCACCATAATTCCATCCATAAGTAACACAATGACTGATAAGCGTGTTTGGGACAAAATCGTATCAAATGGAGATCTGTGGTCTAATTTGTGTCAGTTGTGTCATTTAGTTTGACGTGAAAAAAGACTGAATGCAAGGCAAGAGAATAAATATAACACTGTTTGTACTCATTGTATTTTACCTTTTATTGTGTGGAAAAAGAAATAGATATAAAAAGTATGATTTTTAATCCTTTCATGTCAAAAGATGTTATAACTTTAATTGAACTGCAGTATTCCTGAGTGGACTTTATAGAGGACAGAACTTCTCTGCTTTTCACATACTGTTACAAAGATTTCTTTCACAGCTCTGACAGGAAGATGTAACATATTACTACAAACACAAGGCTCATAGTTAAATATGAATGTAAAACAAATACAGTGATAAAGTATTCAACAGTAAACTACTTGTGTTTTGGGTTGTGAGATATTTGTGTGCACATTGGCCAAAATTCCACAAATGCACAAATTTGTTTCTCTTTTCTTTGAGCGGCCTTTCACTGTTAAACTTTATTTACTGTTGGTTAAATCAGCAGACTGTAAAAACTATATTTGATCAAGTGTTGCACACGTTTGGTTTTTCCATGTTAATAACGGCTGAATGTGACTAAACTCCGCTGAACTGGATCCATGAGCTGGGCTGAGTGATGATTTGATGTCAGTGACTCTTTCTAGTTTCAACATGTTTCTTCTCCTTCACTGAACATGTTCACTCTGCTCTACAAGCTGAGCAGCGTCCTGCAGCTTTAGCACAGATGCTAACTCTGCTCACTGTGACTCCAGTTCAATAACACGCTGTTTATTCCAGCTGATTAAAGGTGTGAATGTTGGTGTCGAAATAACAAAGTTACACAAAGTTCTTTACTTCATTTTGGATGTTTGGTTGTTCATTCAGGATTTATTCTTCTTTAAATGAAACAAGTGAACGCTCCTGCTGTGAGTCACAGATTTAACTGCTGAATGAAAAGCTGCCTGTGTCTCAGAGTCTGTGTGATCTGGAAGTATAATTTAAAACAGCAGGTGTGTTCGGGGCAGCGTGCATCGAGGTGCGACCCTGAAAATGTGCGTAGTCTACAGAGAAGGCGTTCGGGCCTTCCTGTACAAAAACACAACTTCTGTCTCACTGGCTAACTTACAAAGTTAGCACACAGACACATTTAGAGAATTAAAGTAGCTAAAAAACAGGATAAATATCTAAAAACAGCTTAGCTGCTGAAAGCTAACTAGCTAAAACAATACTACATGACTTTAAACAGGCTAACGTTGCTAACCTCTGACCGCATCTGGCTATCTGAAACTCCATTAGTCCGTTTCAAGAGCATTATTTTTTATTTAGATTTATTGATCCAAAGTTAACAAAATACTTCTCCGTTGTTTAAACAAACGCATCAGAAACTCAACTTATATTCCTTTATCACAGCGAGAACTAAACTGTTCACCTCCCGAGCTGTCGTCCCTCCTCTGATGCATCATAACGTCTGGACGACCTGATCAGGACGAGATCTGATACGAGTTTCCAATATTTTTATCCAACAGTTATTTCAAACAATAAAACAGAAAAGAAAATGTCGCCCTGCTCGTCCATAACAACAATAACAAGGATGACACCGATCAACTACTGTGGCTTCAACAGGTGGCATTTTACACAAGGTGTCACTTAAAGTACTCTGCTGGTATCGTGTCACTTTAAGGGAACTGGTTTTGGTTTTGGTTCCGTAAAATTTCAAACGATACCCAAGAGAACAAAGTTCAGTCGGTCACATTTTTATTTTTAGTTTGAAAAGAGACTCGTCCGGCCGGCCGCCCACAAACAGGTCAGCTGGTTGGACCAACCAGCCAATCAGAGCTTTGAAGCCACATTCAGAAGGGGGACGCCATCTTCCTGTACAGCTGGCTAATTAGCAACATCCATAAAAAAAGGGACACAAAATGCCTTCCAGCGTGACGAGATGTTTGCAGCCGAGCAGATTTTATTCGACATTTTCAGCCACTCGTTGAAGCGTGAATGCTAAGCTAACAGCTGCTAGCTAGCTCTGCTGCAGCTTCTGTGTGAGGTCAGTGTTTTCACCCGTTCAGGATGAGTCCCTGATGTTTTATATACGGTCCACAAGGTCCCAAGTCTGCAACATCCTGACCAGCAACTGGAAACCCGTTTTTCAGCAGGTGGTCGAGAAGCGATGGACCCACAAACCTTCTTTCTGCGGCGGATGTGAAACGGACCCGGTCAGAGAGGGTCTCCAAAGTTCATGCGTGCGTCGCTGCTGTAGTGACCTCTTGCATGACGAGCTGGTAAAAAGCTAACGGCTAACATGCTAGCAGCAGTGGGACGCTGCGTCCCTATTGGACGATTACACAGCTCCAGATTTAAATCCCGTGCTGATGACGGACGGCGTGCGTCTTTCAGAGAGGCGTGTGAGTGGGTACAGAAGTCGGCTGTGGAGGTCAGGGTGGTGTCTGTCAGTGGTCGAGTTGCATCGTGGGTAGTTTGTTGTAGTTGGAGTGCAGCGGTCGCTCAGAGCTCAGACTTTAACGCCGCTGGATTTGGTTCCTCTTCTTCGCTTGGTTGCCGGCGTCATCACCTGTGGTCGTGACATCAGTGATGCTCGGGTCACCAGAGGCGACCTGGGTACCAGCGTCAACCAGTTGGTCTGCTGTGGCGGCGGCGCGGTCCTCGTCACCCTCGGCGTCTCTTCGACTGCCGCCACTCTGACGGTGTTCTTCCCGTACAGCCTCCTCTCGTACTGCAGCAGCTGCTCCCAGAAGCCGGCGTTCAGCCGCACGTAGGGCCGACTGTCCTGGACCCAGCGGTGCGCCTGGCGGAGCGTCACGCCTCTGTAACGCATCAGGTACGCCATAACCAACGCCGGGGAGCGGCTCATACCGGCGGCGCAGTGCACCAGCGTGCCCCCTGCACGGTTTCCGTGGATGCGCTCGGCCACACGGTCAAAGTGGTCTCCGAGGCGGGCGCTGGGCAGGTCGGAGACGGGCACCCGCACACACTCCACCCCCGGGTAGGCGGGGCTGGCGTGGCTGACCGTGGCGTTGACGATCAGAGTGATGCCCTTCTGCGACACCAGCGCTGCGTTGAGGGGGCCTTCGGCGCCGCTGAGGAACAGGGTGGGCGTGATCTGAGACACCGCCATGAGGCCGACCTGTCAGGAGACACATGATGCTGGTCACTCTCTGAACTCCAGCGCACTACGGCACGTGCTTAGCCTAGCTTAGCACAAAGGCTGCTAGCCTAGCGTCATCAAAAGAGAAAACGGCTCCCAGTCTGACTGACATGTTGCGTGTTGTTAGCTAACCAGCTGGTTGGAGTCCGTCCTGCAGTCAGCTGGTCTAGTTCGGCTCCACTCTGAGTCCAGGACTTTAGAGATGCTGCAGCCGTCACTGCTCCCAGCAGGGGGCGTCGACACACAGCTCCAAAGCTAATGCTGCTAAACGTCTCCTGTTTACAGTTCTGTTTCAACACCAGTTCAATAAAGATGTAAATCACAAGACGTAGCGGTTAACAAATGCTTTGGAGGGTGGAGGTTTTCTCTTTTGATGACGCTAGGCTAGCAGTTTCCCCCTGCTCCCAGTCTTTGTGCTAAGCTAGGCTAAACACGTCCTGAACATTTTTCCATCCAGGGCCAGATTAACCTGCGAGCGGCCCTGGAGATAGTAATGTAGGTGTTGCCTCTTCCCACATCTGTCCACTGTATATTGTACTATAAATAATAATTAAATAAAGTTATCTGGAGGGGCCCTCAGGGGCCCACTGTGTAATGCAGCTTTGGCTCCAACAATAACTTTTTACCCTCTCGTTCTCCACGTAAGTCAGACAGACTCGGAGCTGCTGCACGTTTTCTCTGCGGACGGAGTCATGCTAGCAGTTTCCCCCTGCTCCCAGTCTTTGTGCTAAGCTAGGCTAACCACAACCCGGACCTGCCTCTGTACAAATACCATTCACTTCTGTAGACCAGTACCTGGAACAGGACTGATGAGGTCTCACAGGAACAGAGACTGGGAAAGACCTCAGAGGAGTATCAGAGAGTAAAATGTTCACACAGGTGTGACTGCAGGTGTGAGTGTGTGTGTGAGTGTGTGTGTGTGTGTGTGTGTGTGGTGTGTGTGTGTGTTACCTGCTGCCCGGTCGGTTCCTTCACTTCAGCCTCGTTGTTTCTCTTCTTCTGCTTGCTGCTCTGAGTGAACACAAACCCCCCGGTGATGCCGTAGAAGGCTGTGTGTGTCAGTCGGCCGAAGTTAATTTTAGTCCTGACATCGTGACATGTGACATAAGACCCACATCCTGAAGCCACTGGCTGATCTGTAAAACTCAACCTCGTGTGTTACTGACTGATGATTCGCACAGAAAGAACTGATGAAGTTTTCCAACATGAAACAGATTTAAATATGAAATGTGATTCAGCAGAGATTATTATTATTACTGCTGTGTGAATGTTAGAACATATTTTAGTATTACTGAAGAGTTAAATGCTGAGGAGCTGAATCAAATCATTTTCTGTTAACTTATTGTTGTGTGTTAAGTCTGAAATGTTATGAAGTTAAACTAACTCTACAGTTAATCCACAGCTAGTGAGAGAGTTTCTGCTGTAAACAAATGTCTGAAACAGTTTTCATGGGGACCCGAGGATTTCTAAAGTCCTGGTTCAGGTTCTGAGACAGACCGCTCACCTGTCTGGGCTCCTGCTGTCTGTAAGAACAAAATACAGCGCTGGACGAAGTATTCAGATCCTTTCTTTCAGTAAGAGTTCCAATACGTCACTGTAAAAATACAAGTAAAAGTACTGCATTGAAAACATTACTTAAGTAAATATAAGTATTATCAGACAGATGGCCTGTTTACTATAATATATATATATATATATATATATATATATACACACACACACACACACACACACACACACATCTCAGATTACTGGATTATTATTCCTCATGCATTCACCTAAAAGCAGGATTTTACTGAGCATTTAGTATCAGCCTGCAGCTAATGATCATTAATTCATTCTGATTATTTCTCCATTAACTGATTGCAGTAGTGAGACTGTTGTCACGGTGACGCCTTCATGTTTGTTCTGTCAGGTTAAAACTCAAAATGATTAAAAATATGAACTAATGTACAACTGTTTAATTTAGAATAAAACATTAAAGTATTTCCCTCTGAGGGGAAAGTACCTCTAATATGTACTACAGTACAGTAAAAGTACTTCACCTCCGACACAACAACCCGGATGTCCGCAGCTTCTTCTTCTGTCCTGCGGGGGCGGCGGAGGTTCTGCGGTTAGGAAGCAGCGAAGAAGAAGCGCAGCTAGCAGCTAGCCAGTTAGCTTCCTCCGTCATGGCGGAACTGAACCGACAGCTGCAGGAGTATCTGGCGCAGTCCAAAGGCGGCGGCGCCAAGACCATCTCCCAGTCCAGCTCCAGCACCACGGTGGACCTGGACGACCCGGAGCCGGTACCCGGGAGCTGGTTCGGGCGGTGGTCGCGCCCGTGGTCCGGGGGCCGCGGCGGCAGTCCCTCCGGGCAGAGCTCCGGCGGACACGGCGGGTTTTCCTGGCCGTGGTCGGCCGAGCCGGACCCGTGCCTGCCGGGCCTGAGCCGCCGGCAGCGGCTGGTGGCCTGCGGGGTCTGCGCGTGCTTCTCCGCGCTCTGCTTCGGGCTGTCCGCGCTGTACGCGCCGCTGCTGCTGCCTACGCCCGCAAGTTCGCGCTGCTGTGGTCGCTCGGTTCGCTGTTCGCCATCGCGGCCGCGGCGATGCTGCGGGGCCCCAGCAGGCTCGCCGCCGGCCTGCCCACCTCCCCGGGGGCCGCGGTGTACCTGTGCGCCCTGGGCGGGACTCTGTACGCGGCGCTGAGCCTCCACAGCACCGTGCTCACCGCGCTGGGAGCCGCGCTGCAGGTCACCGTCATCGTCGGGTACGTGGTGTCGCTGCTGCCGGGGGGCAGCGCCGGGATCCGGTTCATGGGGGGCATGGCGGCGTCCGCCATCAAAGGACCGTCACCGGGAAACCATGCCGATCTGACCCGGTGTCAGACCCGGGACCCGGACTGAACTCAAAGGCTTTAAAGGCCGAGTCCCCAAACCGGGTCCGGGGCCTCCGGGACCTGGAGAGGACCTACTTTATTTGTTGAAACATTCCACGGCAGGCTGATTATTGATCATCGGCTGCCGTAACTGGAACTGAGGCAAGATCCTGGACCCTGACCTGCAGGACCCTGCTGCCGCTCAGGACCTGGACCCTGACCTGCAGGACCTGCTGCCGCTCAGGACCTGGACCTGACCTGCAGGACCCTGCTGCCGCTCAGGACCTGGACCCTGACCTGCAGGACCCTGCTGCCGCTCAGACCACCACAGAAAGACTTTAAAGTGTGATAACATGTATCTGGGTGTTTGGAACTGGTGTGAGTGAAGAAATCTCTTTAATACAGGAAATAAAAATCTGATCAGAAGTTTGTTTCATGTTTTCTGTGATCAGCTGTGACCTCTGACCCCTGAGGGAAACACCCTGCTCTGGGTTCAATCTGTGCATCTTTCATTCTTTGATCATCGTTTTAAAACCAAAACAGGAAAACACTGATGTTTAGTGTGACTCAAGCAGATCTGAGCTCGAACATCAGCTTAGTAAAAAGACGAGACTCGACCCGGGACGGGACGGGAACTCTGCCCGAGAGTCCTGCGGTTCTTCACAGATGAAGGTACTCGGCTGTGCGTGAAGGAACGATGCACAGACTGAAGCATGCTGGGCTACTTTAGAGTAGAGCTCGACACTGAAAAGCAAATAAAGGTCTGACGGTCCCTCGTATTTCACTACAGAACATCAGCTCGCTGTTTCCTGCGGCTCCCTGTCGGTTATTCAGCGTGCTGGTTTGACCTTACTTTGGTAGTCCAGAGGTGCTCAAACTTCTTCACATCAGACCTGGACTAGGGTTACGACCCCAGCCCAAACCCGTCCCCCTACAGTGAAACCCATAGCGGGCATAAAGTAGCACCTGACAGGTCACCTTCTTCTTAGTGTTGTTACGGACAAGCGGTTTTATTTCTTTAAGTGATTAGTTCATCCTCACTGGCCTATCAGGGCAAAGCCTGCAGCTCGGGGGGGAGAGTGAAATACTTTAGTGACCAAATACGAATTGAAGGAGATTTTTGATGCGTGTTGAAGTAAACAACAGAAAATGATTTAGTTAACT